GGCCGTCCTGCTGAGGACAGACCAGTTCCGGGACACATGACCATGCGCTGAGAACAGCTTGAAGGAGAAGCTGAACTGCCCTCAGAGACGAGATAACAAACCTGAACATAAATCCTGCCATGAAACGAGTTGGTGCATTCAGAGGAGGATGAACCCAGTTAGGTTCTTCACTACAGGGCTGGAGACCCCCATGCAGCTGTGTCTTGCAGACCCCCTCCCAGCACGCAGGCCATGCACACGGTGAGCTGGCACCAGATCCTCCCCAGGTTCAAGAATCCTGTAGTTACCGCCGCTCAGCACAAGGGGCGCTGCAAGCCTCGTTAGCTCAGGGCGCGTTCAGCATTTTCAATTATCCACTCAATAGCAGCCCACCCCTGGAGCAACACAGAAAGATTTCAACGTGGTGTCAGAAGTCCTGCCTGTCTCACTGCAGACAGCAGGCTATGCAGGGGTCACATAAATGCACAGGGACATCCCTGCAGCTCTGCAGTAAACGCAGCCAAGACGTTCTGCAGACAGCTTCTCAGCCCCACAAAGGTGGTACCTGTTCTGCCTGAAATTCCCGCACCAGCTTGAGCTATGCTGAGTCTGCAACCTTCATGAGTGCCGTTACCTACTGAGGGCAGTGATGGGAGCGCGGCCCCTCAGCCTCCTCCGTAAGTCACCCCTAACTTCTAGGTCCTGAACCGCATGTGGGGCCACCCGCCTCTCCACCTCCATCTCCCCCTCCGGTTCCCCCTCTGGCTTCTCCTCCATCTTCAGGCCACTGGCTGCCCCGGCCTCCCCCAAACTTGTCTGGGATGCTGTCGGATGGCAACCACAATTGGGGCGGCCGTGATTCTCCACAGGCCTCCAAAACAGCAACCCCCAAATAAAGTGAAATAAAAGACCTTGATCTGGCCTCACTGAGTTTCCCCTGACTTTTCTCATAAAGGGCTGAGGTGACTCTGGTCTCACCCAGTGCTGCCTTCCTCCCAAAATATTCTTCAGCAAACACTCAGGCCTGCCCTAAGCCAGATCCCAGACACACAGAGTGAGTCGGTCAGGTTCTGTCCCCAGGGCTCACAGAGTGGACATGATGCATGCTGCTCTGGGCAGGGAGCCTCCCCAACTTTCTTGAATTGAGCTGAGCTACTGCTGACCTTCCTCAAATCTGGATTTTTCTAAAAATAGGACAGACTGGCTCCGTATTAGTGACTAGACCAATGAGCCTAAATGCAAGAATAAATGGCTCTTGGCCAAGCCGTGACCTGAGCGTGGTAGGAAGGGAAGGACAGCTTAGGTGCCATCCCACTGGTCCCAGAATGTAGAATCTCTTCTGACCAAAAAGAACAAGAGAGAGAAGGGGAGAGGGGAGAGTCGGGGTGGCGGCAGGAGGACGGCAAGGGGAGCTGGGCAAACAGCCAGGCCCTGCTCTGGCACCCAGCACTGCCTGGGATGTGCCCCCCAAACACCCAATCTCTTCCTGCCAACCCCGCTGGAGAGGCCAGGGCTGACAGCCTCCTGGTCCATCCCTCCCCCACTCCCTCCACAAGGCTCGCTTCCAAATCCCACCAGAGCAAGAGGCAAAGGGAAACCCCGCACACGGAGAAGCTCAGCCAGAGCCACTCAATGCCAATTAAATATGAAACTGCTGAAAATTCCGAGTGTCCTGCCTGCCCACGCCAATACCTGTCCTGGACGTGTGGGGTGTGTCTTGTTAACTGAGCCCAGATGGTTCGACTCCTGGAAGAGGTGGCTGCCTTGCTGGCCTGTGTTCCCCCAGGCCTGGAGCCCTCCCCACCTGCCCGCGGTCAGTAGGACCCCCGCTCATATGGATCCCGAACAGCTAGAGATGGTACCTTCTTTGCGTTGGACGATATCGTGTTGGCCATCAAACTTTCCAGATAGCTGCCGAGGCTGATCCCCTTCACGGTGATGACGGCTTCTTGGGTGAGCACGGTCCTGCAGGAGAGCGAGAAGTGAAGGGTCTGAGCAGCCGGGGGGTAGGGGGAGCCCCCACCCCGCCCCAGCCTTGGAGTTCAATGTCTGCTTACCTTCCTGGGTCCTCCGGGTGGGGTGTATACACCAGCCTCTCACTCACCGACACCCAGTTTGTGAGTGTGATCTTAAAACAGGAAACAATGGCTGTAGGTTCTATTTCTCTTGCATTTCTTCCCAGACCATCTGCCCCCACTCCTCCCATCCCCGAATCTGCACTTACTGGAGCCAGAGCAGAAGAAACGCCAAGGCCTGCCAAGGCCCAGGAGGCACAGCCAAAGTATGGCCCAGGGACACCGCGTCCTGGCCGCTCCTGGCGACAGTCACCGCCCTCCCTCCACACCCCACCCAAACCTGAGCCAGGCTCATTAGCTGTCATCATTGTATGTGCAATATTTTTATGCCAGACTCTGTATTTAATAAACCTCATTTTCTTTCATTAATCCTCAGGACAATACGGTGAGGTTTGCTCTTTTTTAGACAAGGAAAGTGAGGCTCAGAACAGGGTGATCACTGACACCCGCAGCCATACAGTGATTCCATGATAACCAGGACACAGGCATGCGGCTGTCCCGCCCAAAGCCCTTCCTTTCCACTAGACCTCCTACAACAGCAAGAACCGTCCCTCTTTACCGACAACTAAGCCTTCTTGAAGGAGGAACAGTAATTTTCCAAGTGAAGAAGAGAGAACAATATATAAACTGTCAGGAATGGCTGATGTGGACACACCCACCCGGCTCCCTGTGACTTTGCGGAAGGGCTGCCTGGGCCGAGGAACGGGGGCCCCGGGCAGAGGTCCAGGCGGTAAACCAAGGAGCCTCCACACACAGTGACACGACCCACAGGGTAAGGGGCCTGACATAAACCATACTCCTGGGCCACCTGTTTTCCCCAACATGCTCTTTGAATGTGCATTAGGCCAATATCAATGGTTCTTCATTGTGAGACGTGAGAGAGGAGGCCAGGAGAAAAGTGGCTGTTTCAGTGGCTGCGAAGAGCCGAGTGTGCTGTTGGCGGGCAGGATGGAGGCTGGGAGGGGCGGGGGGGCACTGGGGAGGCGCACGGGGGCCCCGGGGCTGCCAGTCTGTCCCCTGGCCTGCCCACTGGTTACAAAGGTGTGTTCACATCATTATGTGTGTTCTTCTGTACATTTTTATACTGGAATAAAAGACAAGTAAGATACTGCTAAATAAAGTCAGCCTTTCTATTAAAAATAAAACATCACTTAGACCAAAGGTGGGCTGGAAATAAAATTAAATGAAGACATTACGCACCATCGTGGCCATTGCTTACATTGGTGGAACAGAGCTCCATTTTCTTTCCCACTGGATCCACAACAGAATGTTCTCTGATGTATGTCAAAGTCCTACTCGTTCCCAAAATCTGAAAAACAAAGCAAAACCAGCAGAGTGACGTGTTAGAAACTCCACCTTATATCCTGGAACGCCAACCGCCATTTCCTATCTGCTACCCATCTCTTCAACCAGGGACGCAGGTGCGGCTGCAGCAGTACCTCTAGCTCCTCCAGGTGCCTCTGTCCAGCAGGTGGGATGGACACACAAAGCAGGGACATAGGGACCGGTGCTTAGACAGAGGAGAAAGCAGGGCAGGAACTGGGGTGCTGAGGTCAAGGTTGAGGACAAGGTCCGGCTGGTGAGTCAGCTGTGGACCGACCCTGACCCCCACTCCCTGGGCTCCGCTGTGTGGAGCCAACTCTGGGGTTCAGGCCACACCAAGCAGGACGATGAGGCTGGGGTGGGGGGACTGGGTGTGGGGAAGGGGTGGGGGACCGGGGGTCATGGGGGTCCTGTGGGCAGTGTCCCCACTGCAGGTGGGTCAGGGGATGTGTTGAACACTCAGGCGGACGATTAACTCAATTCACAGAGAAACAAACCATCTCTGGGGCTTCCCAGAAATCCCAAATGGGAAGGTTGTCATTCCCTGCATATGGGTGCCAGCTGGGCTGGCGGGTGTAGACAGCTGTGTGAGTGTAGCTGGGGGTCATGCGGGTGCTGCCAGGCTCCACTGGGGGCTCACCGCTCTCACGAGGCTGGGCAGCCCCCACTCGGTGCTGAGGAGGCGGTAGCTGTGAAGCCGGCCCCGGCTGTCCACAATGCGCTCCAGCACATCGACGCCCACGACACTGGGGTTCATGGGATTCGGGTACTTCCTCATGGCAGCCTTGATGACTGTGTCCCACGGGTGGCTGGAGGAAAACGCAACCAACAGCATGAGTGGGCAGTGCGTCCAAAGTCAGGTCAACCCTGTTCTTCAAGCTTCGTTCCAACAAATACACCTGAGGAGTTGGGCTCTGGACCCAGATCCTGGATCCCTGATCCCCCGGGCAACCAGGGGGCAGGTGGGGGGCACAGACCAGGCTCAGGCCTGGCCATCCCAGCTTGGCTAAGGGCCCCCTCCTTCCCCAGCCCTGCAGAGCCTAAAGAGGCAGAACCCTTTGGTCTGGGGCTTCTGGGCAAGAGACAATGTCCCTATTCCCTGCCTGTCACCACCTCCGTGCTGACAGGCACCGTGCTGCTCCGTGCTGACAGGCACCACCACCATGCTGCTCTGTGGGCTGCAAGGCCGGGGGGCCAGGGCTCATTCCTGCCTCCACCTGGTCGCAGTAACTGTGGGGGCCTTTTGCTGACCGCCCGCCTCACCCCTGCAGCCCACCACAGGCCAAAGCAGCACACCTGTCCAACACGGATCACCCACAGCTGCTGCCCACCTGAGTCCTGAAGCAACTACTTTGTTCCAACTTCTAAGCAGTATGTGACTTGAAATGGCTACATATGTATTCTGATTATCAAAAAATGTATTTGAAATTTTGAAAAATAACACAGGATGAGGAAAATAAAAATCTACAATTTCACTATCTGGAGACAAGTCTGTGCAGGCGTCCTGTAGACGCCACCCCTCCCCTCTGGCCCTGAGCCCTGGAGTGAGGGGTGGACACCGGTGCCCCTGTTTGTTTCCTGCCGTCAGAGACCACACAGCTGCCCCTGCTCCCCAGAGCTCTGTGCCTGTTGAGGCCGGCAGCCCTAAAGGCATCCAAGGGCTCAGAGTCCGGGGTACTCAGGGTGGACCTTCCCCAGGCGCTGCTGTCCTGGTTTTCCCTTCAGGATGCGCGCCCAGGTGCATCCCCACAGAGGTGAGTGCGTCTCAACAATACTGTTGTTTCCCCATACGTACCCACACAGGTTTGAGCGGCATGTACAGACACAGCCCAGACCCAAGACCTACAGACACGCATGCACGCACAGACGTCCACACGCTCAGAAATTAAAATGGGATCATGCTCCTTACATGCACTCTTTACTGCTTTTTATATGTAACAGACAAACATTTTCCTGTATCATGAGGCTATTTTCAGAAATATGACTCTAAGTAACTGCACAACAGGCCACCCTGTGGACAGTGGTGTAACCAGACCCCTCTGGCGGATTATTATGTCTTTAATCTAGTTTTTCTTTTATTTATATTACTTTCATCATCATTTAATCCTGGAGACCTTACATTTCTTTTTTTTTGGTATATTTTTTGAATTTTATTTTTTATTTTTTTATACAGCAGGTTCTTATTAGTTATCCACTTTATAGATATTAGTGTATATATGTTAATCCCAATTCATCACACCACCACCACCCCCTGCCACTTTCCCCCCTTGGTGTCCATACATTTGTTCTCTACATCCGTGTCTCTGTTTCTGCCCTGCAAACTGGTTCATCTGTACCATTTTTCTAGGTTCCACATATATGCATTAATATACGAGATTTGTTTTTCTCTTTCTGACTTACTTCATTCTGCATGACAGTCTGTAGATTCATCCACGTCCCTACAAATGATCCAATTTCGTTCCTTTTTATGGCTGAGTAATATTCCATTGTATATATGTACCACATCTTCTTTATCCATTCGTCTCTTGCTGGGCATTTAGGTTGCTTCCATGACCCGGCTGTTGTAAATAGTGCTGCAATGAACACTGGAGTGCATTTGTCTTTTTGAAATATGGTTTTCTCTGGCTATATACCCAGTAGTGGGATTGCTGGGTCATATGGTAATTCTATTTTTAGTTTTTGAAGGAACCTCCATACTGTTCTGCATAGTGGCTGTATCAATTTACATTCCCACCAACAGTGCAAGAGGGTTCCCTTTTCTCCACACCCTCTCCAGCATTAGTTGTTTGTAGATTTTCTGATGATGCCCATTCTAACTGGTGTGAGGTGAGATACCTCATTGTAGTTTTGATTTGCATTTCTCTAATAATTAGTGATGTTGAGCAGCTTTTCATGTGCTTCTTGGCCATCTGTACGTCTTCTTTGGAGAAATGTCTATTTAGGTCTTCTGCCCATTTTCTGATTGGGTTGTTTGTTTTATTAATATTGAGCTGCATGAGCTGTTTATATATTTTGGAGATTAATCCTTTGTCCATTGATTCGTTTGCAAATATTTTCTCCCATTCTGAAGGTTGTCTTTTGGTCTTGTTTGTAGTTTCCTTTGCTTTGCAAAATCTTTTAAGTTTCATTAGGTCCAATTTGTTTATTTTTGCTTTTATTTCCATTACTCTAGGAGGTGGGTCAGAAAGGATCTTGCTGTGATTTATGTCAAAGAGTGTTCTTCCTATGTTTTCCTCTAAGAGTTTTATAGAGTCCAGTCTTACATTTAGGTCTCTAATCCACTTTGAGTTTATTTTTGTGTATGGTGTTAGGGAGTGTTCTAATTTCGTTCTTTTACCTGTAGCTGTCCAGTTTTCCCAGCATCACTTATTGAAGAGACTGTCTTTTCTCCATTGTATACCCTTGCCTCCTTTGTCATAGATTACTTGACTATAGGTGCGTGGATATTATCTCTGGGCTTTCTATCCTGTTTCATTGATCTATATTTCTGTTTTTGTGCCAGTACCATATTGTCTTGATTACTGTAGCTTTGCAGTATAGTCTGAAGTCAGGGAGTCTGATTCCTCCAGCTCTGTCTTTTTCCCTCAAGACTGCTATGGCTATTCGGGGTCTTTTGTGTCTCCATACAAATTTTAAGACTTTTGTTCTAGTTCTGTAAAACATTCCATTGGTAATTTGATAGGGATTGCACTGAATCTGTAGATTGCTTTGGGTAGTATAGTCATTTTCACAATATTGATTCTTCCAACCCAAGAACATGGTATATCTCTCCATCTGTTTGTATCATCTTTAATTTTTCTCATCAGTGTCTTATAGCTTTCGGCATACAGGTCCTTTGTCTCCCAGGTAGGTTTATTCCTAGGTATTTTATTCTTTTTGTTGCAATGGTAAATGAGAGTGTTTCCTTAATTTCTCTTTCATATTTTTCATCATTAGTGCATAGGAATGCAAGAGATTTCTGTGCATTAATTTTGTATCCTGCTACATTACCAAATTCATTGATTAGCTCTAGTACTTTTCTGGTGGCATCTTTGGGATTCTCTACGTATAGTATCATGTCATCTGCAAACAGTGACAATTTTACTTCTTCTTTTCCTATTTGGATTCCTTTTATTTCTTTTCCTTCTCTGATTGCTGTGGCTAAAACTTCCAAAACTATGTTGAATAATAGCGGCAAAGATGGACATCCTTGTCTCGTTCCTGATCTTAGAGGAAATGCTTTCAGTTTTTCACCATTGAGAATGATGTTTGCTGTGGGTTTGTCGTACACGGCCTTGATTATGTTGAGGTAGGTTCCCTCTATGCCCACTTTCTGGAGAGTTTTTATCATAAATGGGTGTTGAATTTTGTCAAATGCTTTTTCTGCATCTATTGAGATGATCATATAGTTTTTATACTTCAATTTGTTAATATGGTGTATCACATTGATTGGTTTGCATATATTGAAGAATTCTTGCATCCCTGGGATAAATCCCACTTGATCATGGGGTATGATCCTTTTAATGTGTTGTTGGATTCTGTTTGCTAGTATTTTCTTGAGCATTTTTGTGTCTATATTCATCAGTGATATTGGTCTGTAATTTTCTATTTTTGTAGTATCTTTGCCTGGTTTTGGTATTAGGGTGATGGTCGCCTCATAGAATGAGTTTGGGAGTGTTCCTTCCTCGCAATTTTTTGGAAAATTTGAGAAGGATGGGTGTTAGCTTTTCTCTAAATGTTTGATAGAATTCATCTGTGAAGCCATCTGGTCCCGGACTTTTGTTTGTTGGAACATTTTAAATCACAGTTTCATTATTTGTGATTGGTCTGTTCATATTTTCTATTTCTTCCTGCTTCATTCTTGGAAGGTAATACCTTTCTAAGAATTTGTCCATTTCTTCCAGGTTGTCCATTTTATTGGCATAGAGCTACTTATAGTAGTCTCTTAGGATGCTTTGTATTTCTGCAGTGTCAGTTGTAACTTCTCTTTCTTCATTTTTTATTGATTTGATTTGAGTCCTCTCCCTCTTTTTCTTGATGAGTCTGGCTAATGGTTTATCAATTTTGTTTATCTTCTCAAAGAACCAGCTTTTAGTTTTATTGATCTTTGTTATTGTTTTCTTTGTTTCTATTTCATTTATTTCTCTCTGATCCTTATGATTTCTTTCCTTCTGCTAACTTTGGGTTTTGTTTGTTCTTCTTTCTGTAGTTGCTTTAGGTTTAAGTTTAGGTTGTTTATTTGAGATTTTTCTTGTTTCTTGAGGTAGGCTTGTATTGCTATAATCTTCCCTCTTAGAACTGCTCTTGCTGCATCCCATAGGTTTTGGATCATCGTGTTTTCATTGTCATTGGTCTCTGGGTATTTTCTGATTTCCTCTTTGATTTCTTCAATGATCTCTTGGTTATTTAGTAATGTATTGTTTAGCCTCCAAGTGTTTGTGTTTTTTACGTTTTTTTCCCTGTAATTGATTTCTAATCTCATAGCGTTGTGGTCAGAAAAGATGCTTGATATAATTTCAATTTTCTTAAATTTACCGAGGCTTGATTTGTGACCCAAGATGTGATCTATCCTGGAGAATGTTCCATGTGCACTTGAGAAGAAAGTGTAATCTGCTGTTTTTGGATGGAATGTCCTATAAATATCAATTAAATCTATCTGGTCTACTGTATCATTTAAAGCTTCTGTTCCCTTATTTATTTTCATTTTGGATGATCTGTCCATTGGTGTAAGTGAGGTGTTAAAGCCCCTCACTATTACTGTGTTACTGTTGATTTCCTCTTTTATAGCTGTTAGCAGTTGTCATATGTATTCAGGTGCTCCTA